TTACTTCTGAGAAGTAACTATTGCGTGTTACGTCATTCTTAATTGTTTTTAGCTGCCTAGTGACTTCAGCGATAAATATTTTAAAAAATAACAAAGAGTCGTTGAAGCTTGTTGTATGACCTTAAGTTTTTAGGTTTTTATGATAGCCGCAAGGCAAATTTCGAGACCAGTAGCTGATAGAATATTACGGTATGGTAAAGATCACCCGTTCTTGAGAAAAAATGTACTAATCCCTTTAGGACGAGGTAATTTCTGACTAGAGAAATAATATCCTTTGGGATTTCGATATGAGTGATTTTTATCGAGCAAGTAAATTTTGCTTCAGCTCATTCGTCTTAATTCACTTTTGTTAAGAATAAAAATACCAAACCATTATAACTTTTTATTTTTTTCTTCTTGTGAACCTGAATTTCTTGATTTTCTATTGGTAAAAGTGGTCTTTTTAATTAATAATCTGCATTTATCAGTTTCCTCGTGCTTTAAGGTTTGGCGCACCTGACGACTCGGGTTCGGATGAAAAACTTGGGGTTAGGGAACCCCGTAACTCTAGCACCAGTATCAGAAGCTACTGCTTTGGAACAGGTCTGCCACTGAATGTGCTAATATGAAGTTTTTTTGTAGGTAAAGTGGTAATCATTCAGCTCGTCTTGTTTCTTTTTTATGAGGTGGATCGAAGGTCAATAATTTTTTACTTGAATTACAGGCTTCGGAGCTGATGCAACAAGTTGTATTGTTCACATATAGTGTTGGTGTTTTCGCAGGATATTATTTTTACACTAAATATACCACTCCAGAAACAATGAAGGCCGAAGTCTTTGCTTCTTTCAAAAAGGCAGGTCTCTCACATCTAAACAGTGTAAACTATTGTGTCCCAGAAAAGTAAAATTTTTAGTGTTTCGAAACTTAAGCAATTGAACGACTCCCTCGTGAAAAATTTTTTTCATAATGAAGCCGACTTTTTATTCTTTTATAACATCGTATTGCTACTCTGTTCTTTCGCTTTCATTACTTACTTCATATTTTGTTCCCTTTAGAAATTCTTGCGACAGATTTATAAACATGAAGGAGTGAAAAAGTGTGAGGTAGTTTTATCTTTATAAAGATGTGCAGGCCCTCGAAATGAGATTTCGTTTTCGCATTTTAGGAAAATTCCGAAAGACTTGAGCAACTGGAGAGGCGTTTGGAAGAAATTGAGCGGTTTCTGCGTGAAGGAAGTAGATTTCAAAAAGTAGGCCCGGTTCGTTTATGTTCCTTTTGTCACTTCACACTCAGTTGCAGTTGCATTAACATTAATTTTGTTTCGTTAGGATCTTATATGTACTTCACTTTTGCCTCTTTTTCAGAAATTGATAGCAGACTTGCAGCCTGGAACAAGTTCTGAAACGAACAACGATTCCAGTGCGAAAGGTAATAATAGTTTGCCTACATGTGGAGAAGTTACGCATGTTGCACTTCCAAATAGGGAGCAGTTTGTGGTTTTGCGAAGTGGAGATTCGGTCGTTATTGAACCATTAGAGAATGTTATTTTGAGAGGAACGACATATGTCATGCGAAATTCTGTTTTTAAACCTCAATTTCATAAAAATTCTAGTAAGTCTTCAGACCAATAGTTAGGGAGAGAACGGTGATTTAACCTCTTTTTGGATCCCTGTTTGCTACCAGTTCAGCATAGTGGATGAGTGGACATCATGAACGCAGTCGAAGTGTTAAACTCATTGCCCGCTGTTTACTTGGCATTTTGAGTTTTCTACAGCTTTTTAAATTAATTTACTGGTTGAGCGTATTCTGTCAGTTGTGTGTTATGACAAAAGTAGCGTCATTCCGTATAAATATTGGTATTCTTTCTTAAACTTAATTAAACTAATCGTAGTTATTTTTAATCGTAGTCATTTTTTAATATGTACCATATTTCCTTGTCCCTCAGTTAGCTGTGGACAGTCTTATTGTAGATGTCTTTGTTAGTGGGAGGTGTAATCTCAGTCCATATTACTGGTTGCTTTTTCAAAATGAATCTTTTCTTGATACTCAGATAAGTTTAAGATATTTGTTTTTCAGACGTGAATGGCTAGCGGTGGAGAAGCTTTTTAGATCGCCTTCATTCATCTTTTGCACACCAGTATAAGTAGTTTACGTTTTCCTTATGGTTGTTTCATATGATAAGCAAGCGTTTCTTATGCTTTCTGACAACACTTTTCAAGGGACTCTGTCATCAGTCTGAGATCAAGTGCATTAATTTTAGAAAAAAATTGTCTCATTTTAACTTTTGAAAACCATTGTATTGAAATGCAGGCTTCCGTATTAAAAACTTTGTCAGCTTAGAAATGTGTACATTTTGTGATTTCGTGGTTACTGGTACTTTTTCACTGAAGTGTTGTCGCTTTTTTCTTCTAGCAAATTGTTTAGATGGACTTTTCAGAGTGTGGAATGAATGAATGGAGAATGACACTTTTTCGACCTTAGTTATAAGTATGTTTAAAAATTTACCCGTTCAGGTGTTGGAAGTGTGCATAAATGGTTTTTTTTTCTTCATATTATTACTTTTTCAAGTATCAATAGTTCTATGGTCGGATCCCCAATGTTTTTACTTTGTTAGGTTATAATAATTGACCTTTAGTTATAGGTTGTAGGCTTTTTTGTCTAGGATAGTAAGATCTCAGTAGTGTCTTTTTTATGCTTGTTACGAAAATGCACTTTCTTGTTAAATAATGACTACCAATAAATGTTTTTTATGCATCAAAGTGTTACGAAGGATGGGTCTAGTCCTTTTTTCTTACTTGCTCCTGCCTGAAACATGAGTTTTCTTATGGTTTTATGTATTGGGACGTCGAAGCGCAACAATTTGAGCCGGTAAGAGGGAATTTTAAAGATTTGTTCCAAGTTTGCTTTTTAAGGGGGGTTATTTGTAAGGTCACCAATGTTTTTCCCACTCGAATGAGTTTGGGGGACGGAGAATTTGTCTGGCTTTAGTGGTTTCGATAAATTAGAGCTGGCGGGTAGCGTAGAGTGGGGAGGATTCAATGAGAAAGTCTGAACTTTTGATGGGAAAAACCTTTGTAACCCTTTCCACGTGGTTTCTCGCTGTGGTGCACACCAAGGTTTGAAGAATACTCTCTCATTAAACTTTATTGCATTAATGCTTCTATTTTTTCGGCGAAAAGTTTCTTGAGATTTAAACACTTGTCTTCCACTACTTTGCATGCTTCTACAACCAATTCGCTGCTCTTTAATGCACCGGTGCTTTCGACGCTGACTGAAAATGCAGTGTTAGGAGTTTGATTAATACAGCAGAAAATCCACAACACCGAATAGAATTGCTTTTAGTAAATTTAGAGCCAAATAAAAAAGAATCGATTATTTAAGGATTCATATTTGTTTAAGAGTAATAAGAAATGTCGTTATCACGTCTGACTCATGAGCAATCAAGACTAACTGTATTAACGGATCCTAGTGAAATGTAAAATGTGTAAAAATAATTGTAGATACGTGCGTGAAAAAACAGTTCTGTTTCAAAAGTAAGCTTACAAATGAAGTGGTTCTTCTTTTTTGACAATACAATATGTTTTGCTAGCTCCTCGTGTCTACATATATTACGACTGCATGTATCTCGTCTTGCGTCCTTTACGAACGCAAGTCCATCTGAAATACGTACTCGCTAATCTATATTTTTGAGTTCCATGACGTTGGATTTGTATAATCAAGAAGTTATGCAGATACAAAAATTTTTTTTCTTGAAAACTGGAGCTTCCTAATTCGCATTCAAGCCTCTTAAGGTTCTATTAGACGTTGCAACTGTCAGGTTGCTTCAAAAATAAAAAAGTTCTGTTAAACTAACTAAAGCTTAAAGTTCACTTACCGGAATCTATACCTATTACGCCATCGGCAAAAGATTTCTTTACCCGCTCAGCATCCTCGCCAGTAAATTCCTTTAAAAAAGTAATTTCGGGAAGAAGTCGATAGGTGGCAGTAGCAACAGGCGAGAATTTTGCGTGGTCCCTGCCCTGGCCTTTAACACAGTGACACCTTAAAAGTAAAGTATGTCCAGCTGTAACTTTAGAAAACACGTAACTCTACATGAAAGAAAACCTTGCTTCAATTTCTTGACCAGGCCGAAGTTTCACGACTAATATATCATCATGTACCATTGAAGGCGAGTACGGCAATGCAGTGGATTGGTCACCAATAGGCACCCATTTAAAAGCATTGGAATAAACAATGGCATTTTCATACAGTTCTTTGGGATCTGTGGCAGTTTTTGGACACCGAGGATTTTTTCTACAGCTTACTTTCAGTTCAAAAATAAGATTTCTGAAATAACTGGAACTGCTACCAACCTTTAGGGATAACAAATTTTGAATTTAATGAGCGGCAGTTTTGCAAAGAACTGTTACAAGATTAGAATTTCGCTGACAATCACCTAACATTTAGGTTTCTAGGATTTTGTTGAGACGAAACTTTATATAAAAATTACTTTTTATCCTTTTTCTAGCAGACCCCTTGTGAAATATGAATAACGGAAAAAGACGGTTAACAACGGAAAGCTTTTCTAGTTTAGGTTGAAAGCTTCCTCCCACTACGTGGACACTGTCAAAAAATGAGTTTATTAAGATTGAAGGCAACTCTGAGTAATTTTTAATGAGTTAGTTTTAAAAAAACGTTTACCGCTTTGGATCACCAGCAGGCTCCTCCTCACAGTCAACACCGCCTTCGTTAATCCCGATGACCTTCGTAAGAGGGAATTTAAAACTGCGAGGATCAGCCATAATGGGGAGCAAGCCGAGTCGATGGCACAAAACCTCATCCTAAAGCAATAATTCACTGGCCACTAAACTTTTTCACTGAGAGAACTGAGGCCAGCTGACTTAGCGTGGGACGCAGTACGTTTTGGAAATAACATTATGCCGGGAGCCTTCCTCCTTACCTGTATTATAGATGTGTTTTGATAAAGGTAAACTTTTTCGATCGCCATCGACGGAACCTGAAACGCTTTAGTAACAAAACGACTGAATGAAATACCCTTCAAATCAAGATATAAAAGTGAAGCTACCTCAGGCCTTACAAAAGGAACTGTCTTCCTTTGGACTTTGAATAATTTTTCTAAGTGATATGTACCTTGAATGGTCAAAAAAAATTTTTTTTCAAAACAAAAGTGGTAATAGCTATCATGTTCTACCCTTAGACGCTGAGTAGCACCAAAACAACGCATCATCTTACAACTTGCTTAACCCACTGAACGAGCCAAAGAATTTTACACCGGACAGTTTTCAAATAGTCTTTTGAATCAGAAATGTAGGCAGACACGACTGGAAAACAACCTCAGCAAGCAGTACTCTACGCAAGGTATTTGCAATAGGCGCCTCCACATGTATAAGGTCGAATTCCAAATTCATCCCGTCCTCGCTTTCGTTTATAATATCAATCTTCACTTGAGAGCAGTACTTTTTAACGTCCCATGCTCCTGGATTTCTTGACGGAAAGTCAGTGTCGTCATCGTACGTCTAAAAACTTCTGCGTGACGGCGCGGCCTCAAAAAAATTTACCGTATAATGATAACGGTTAGTACGTTTAATACTCGTTCCGGTTCCATTACCAAGCGACCCTCAAGATCAAACTCTTCCTTTTTGATGCTTCCTTTGCCCTTTTTTTGCACCTTTGACATCACGGTCTGAAAAAAATCATTTCATGTTGCTGAAATCAAATCACCAGAGCAGCAGAGAAACAGTTTAGCGACCTAGAAAACTGGCCACATGACTTAACAGTACAACAACAAGAAAACAACCACACCCTTGAATACACTCTTTTATTTTCAAAAACGTTAACTACATATAACAAAACAAAAAAACATGTGCCAACAAGCTCGCAACATATTCTAAAATATCACAAAAAAAAGGGAATGAAAAATAGAAGCTCATTTTCAAAGCCATTTCGGAAGTAATCACGACAACTATGACACCG